ACCCGTGATGGCAGGCGCGCTCTGGGCGAGGCTGCTCCCTGGGCAGAAGGATCCAAGATCCAAGGGAGCCCAACTTCGGCACTGCTGAAAACATCCGTGCGTACTCTCAAACCTCCTCGTCTGGACCAGAGGGGGGGGGGGAACGGCTCAAGCCGAGACGGGGCCGACAGCTCGGCAACAGGCCCTGGATGGCGACACCGCACGTCCTCGGGCGGGGTGGGCGGTCGGGCCCGTGACGGCGATGAACGGGCGATTGAGGGCCGATGCCTCCCCCCCCCCCCGAAGCCCATCCACCCTCCCCCCCACACCCCCCACCAGTGCCCCCAACAAGGACGTGGCGCAGATGCTGCCAGCGCGCGTGCTCCCGCTCGAGCGGCCTGCCGCGGAGCTCGCAGGACACGGCTGGGGGGGGGGGGGGCACGGGACCTGGGCCCTCACGTGCATCGGCGGATGCCTGCAGAGATGTCCCCATCTTCCCCCGAGGAGCCCCCAAAAAAACGCAGAAGTCCGAAGCCCCACAGTGTGCGACAGCGGGCTCAAAGCGCAAACCAGTTGGGAGTCCACCCCTCCTCCCCTCCCACGGCGCCTTGACCCCCACCCCGCGCCTCGACGAAGCCGCTGAGCAGCGACGTCCACAGCGTCCTCCTCCTCCTCGTCCTCCTCCTCCTCCTCCTCCTCCTCCTGCTCCTTCTGTTCCTCGTCCTCCTCCTGACCCCACTGCGCCTACGCCCCCCCCCCCCCAAAAAAAAAAAAAAAACGTAGCCCCCGAGGGGCGAGGGCGTCGAGGGAGGGCAATGCGGGCGGGGCGCGCTTGAGGTCGGGCTCGTTCATCAGGATCACGGTGCGGAGAGCGGGGTGGTAGGAGCCGTCCTCGGGTGGCGCAGTGGGACAGAAGTCGTTCCCTTCCTTCTCCATCCGCCACCCTCTTCCCTCCATCCTCCTCCCGCCTCATCGTACGTCATAATCCTCTTCCCTCCATCCTCATGTTATCCCTCCCCCTCCTCCTCCTCCTCCTCCTCCTCCTCCGCCTCCTTCTCCTCCTCCTTGTCCCTTCCTTCTCCTCCTCCTACATCCCTCCTCCTCCTCCTCCTGCTCTTCCATCATCTATCGCCCGCCACCATCAATCATCTATCATTCATTATCGTTCACTCTCCTCCTCCTCCTCATCATCATCATCATCAGCATCATCAACAGCATCAGCATCAGCATCAGCATCAGCATCATCATGCTCCTCATCCCTCCCCCTTCCCAGGATGAGGTGGAGGAAGAGGAGTAGGAGGAGGAGGAGGAGGAGGAGGAGGAAGATATTCTCGAGGGCTTTAGGGGGAGGCTCGGGTCTGAGAGGGTTCTATCTGGCTTAGGGGATGATACGGGCAGCACACGAAAAAGCCTCCCGTTCCGGAGTTCATCACTCTCGCAATGCCCAAAGGACCTTCCTGGAACGACTAGAACGGCCAGGGGAACTGACTTAGCAAGTTGACTAGTCAACGCCCTGGTGAGATTGCTTCCACACGGTGTGTCCTGAAACGCCATGTGTGCCGACGGCTTCTTACAGGGCTGCACTCCACGATCCCTCCCTTTCCTCCTACTCGTCCTGCTCATCATCCACATCCTGCTCATCCTAGCCCCTCCTCCTCATACTCCACCCCTTCCCCTCGAGGAGGAAGAGGAGGAAGAGTGATGAGGGTTCCAGATAAATTGGGAGACTCGAAACGTGCTGCAGAAAGAGAAATTCCAGGGCTCCAGTCGAGCTCTAATTACGTTGCACTGGCGGTCTTCCAGCCCCTGGGGGCGTTGCAGCCGCGCGCCTCACCGAGAGAGTTCCGCGGGCACCCGCATCGTCCCAGACGGCCGCGGGGGGGAACAACAACAACAACAACAACAACAACAACAACAACAACAACAACAACAACAACAACAATTACTAGCACGTGGGGACACTCCGTTCTCACCAGTGCCAGGGTTTTCATAGGAGGCGGGCAATACCCCCACTTTGTGGGGGGGCCGGTTCAAGCTCTACCAAATTTCCAAACGACTCTTCGCCACCACCCACACCCAGCTTCCCGCCCTATGACGTTCGGACACTTCACTTCGTGGCATGCGGACGACCGTGGCTACTATTCAGGGCCCCGCGGCCGACGACGACGGCGTGCGCGCGCGAAGAAAAAACGAATGTGTCCCGCATGGTATTATTTGACAGGGATGATGGCCCTGGCAGGTGCGCAACCGTTGTCGCAGAAGTTCGAAAAAGTTGCTCGCAAAAGCCCGTTTGACAGAAATGTTTAAAAAGTGTTGGGTTTCCTACGAATCCGCAAGAGCGCGCGGGATGAGATTTTGACATTTTTTTGTTGAAAAACCATTGGTTTTTTGATGTTTTTATGTTAAAATCGCTGCGAACACTAAGGTTTTGGAAGGATTTCGTCTTGCGCGCGCGAATGTCCACTTTACCTTATTTTTTGCAAGGGATTCTTGAAATTTGATTATATTAGAACAAGAAATGTCATTTTCTATTGTTTTTTGCAAGGGAAAGCGGATTACAACAAAACAACCGGATCCTGTACACACCCTCTTTTCTGAGGCTTCCTCACGAAAATGATGAAAATGTAGCTGCGGCCTAGGCGGCGCAGGGGGGGCGCGCACCAGGGGGCCCAACAATAATTATTCTTTAGAATAAATAATGTTCAACAACAACAACACAAACTACAACAACAACTACTACTACTACTACTACTACCACAACAACAACAACAACAACAACAACAACAACAACAACAACAACAACAACAACAACAACAACGACGACGACGACGACGACGACGACGACGACGACGACGACGACAAACACAACAACAACAACAACAACAGCAGCAACAACAGCAACAACTACAACACTAACAACAACAACAACAACAACAACAACAACAACAACAACAACTACAACAACAACGACGACGACGACAACGACGACGACGACAACAACAACCACAATCACAACCACAACCACAACAACCATCACAACAACAATAATAACAACTACAACAACAACAACAACAACAACAACAACAACCACGACGACGACAACGACGACGACGACAACGACAACGACGACGACGACGACGACGACAACGACGACAACAACAACCACAACGTCAACAACAACAGCAGCAGCAGCAACAACAACAACAACAGCAACAGCAACAGCAACAATAACAACAGCAACAACGATAACAACAACACCAACAACGACAACGATAACGACAGCGACAACGACAACGACAACAAAAAACGACGGGCTTGGTGGGGCCGGCTTCGACCGAGGGGTGCCCTCGCCAGGCCCAGGACCCTCAGAAAAGATGCCTCGCGATGAGAAGCCCGTCCGGAGGCACGCTGTGAAGAGAAGTGTCCTGGCGAGGGACCCCACCATATGTTTGGACGCCCGAAATGGGTACGGAAATAATGGGTACAATGCCCAACAACAAATGCTGTCCCAAACCAACAGCGGCCGCTGTTGGGCAGGCGGCCTTCTGTCTCGAATGGACACAGGCCGCGGCGGCGCGGACAGCGAGTCCTGCTCAAAATGAACAGGAACTGATGTTGGGCATTGTACCCATTCTTTCCGTGCCCATCTCGTTCGTGCAGAATATGCAGTTGCCGCCAGGGACCCCTAAGGTATCCCGGCGAGGGGCCCCTCCAAAGACGCCTTGGGATGACAAGCCCGTCCTCGGGAGGGGGTCCCAGGCGTCCAGAGGCACGCTATGAAGAGAAGTATCCTGGCGAGGGACCCCACCACATGCAGCTGCGAGTATCGCGGTGCAGACGGGAGGAACGAGGGGGGGCCGCAAAAAACGCCGCGGGATGAGAAGCCGGTCTTCGGAAAGGGGTCCAGACCTCCCGAGGCACGCTGTGAAGAGAAGCATCCTGGCGAGGGACCCCACAATGCAGTCAACCCGTATCATCAGGACGCACGACAGTGCTGGACCTGAACGCTGTTTTTCGTTTTGTGTCGTTTTGGTTTTCGTTTTGTTCTACCTGTGTTCCTGTGCCTCCCTGCCAGGACGAAGAACAAAACACAGCCGAAGTCCAGCAAAACAGCGTTTAGGTCCAGCCCTGACGCACGATAAGGATGCAAGGGCCTTCGAAGGCCATGTTGAAGCTTTGCGAGCGGGGCGCGGCCATCGAAAGTGGCCAATAATGTACCGAAGGGGCAACGATGAAAGAGTACCCTTGGGAAGAATGCCCATCCTTACTATGCGGATCGACTGTATGCAGTCGCGAGTATCGCGATGCAGGCGGGATGAAGGAGAGCGGCCAGCCAAAGTACTGCGGCGTGGATGGGAAGGGACAGCGGACATGGGCGAGCAGTGGGTCTCCTTGGTTTCGCGCGAGCCCCGAGACGCATGCGAACACCGCCACTGGGGCCTTCGGTAGGGCTCCCTATAGGGCCACGAACCGAGTGAGGGGTGTGCGGTAATAAGCGCGGGAGGACACAGGCGAACGGTGCCACTGGGGCCTTCGGTGGAGCTCCCTATGGGGCCACGAGCCGTGTGAGGGGTGCCCCGTAATGGGTCGTGATGGGCGGGAGAGACGCATGCGAACGTCGCCACTGGGGCCTTCGATGGAGCTCCCAATGGGGCCACGAACTGTGTGAGAGGTGCGCTGGAAGAGTGTGGTGAGACGCATACGCACGGTTCCACTGGGGTCTTAGACGGAGCTCCCTACGGGACCACGAACCGTGTAAGAGGGCGCCGTACTGGCCGAGGGAGACGCACGTGCACGTCGCTCCTGGGGCCGAAAACAGGCCACGAACCGTGCTGCCACGGGCGGAGGAGACGCAAACGGACGGTGCCACTGGGGCCTTCGGTGGAGCTCCCGATGGTGCCACGAACCGTGTGAAGGGTGTGCTGTAACGGGCGGGGGAGACGCATGCGAACGTCGCCACTGGGGCCTTCGGTGGAGCTCCCTATGGGGCCACGAACCGTGTGGCGGGTGTTCCGAAATGGGCGGGGGAGATGCATGCAAACTCCGCCACTGGGGCCTTCGGTGAAGCGGGGCCACGAACCGTCTGAGAGGTGCGCCGAAATGGGCGAGGGAGACGCATGCAAACGTCGCCACTGGGGCCTTCGGTGGAGCTCCCCATGGGGCCACGAACCGTGTGAGAGGTGTGCTGAAACAGAAGCATGCGGAGGGCAGGGGCAAGGGACGGGAGGAGAAGGGCGAGGAGTAAAGAAGAAGGAGACGCGGGCGCCGTCATCAAACCAGGGACTCAGCACCACAAGATGGCCGGTGGAGACAAAAAACCGTTGAAGTGTGGGCCCTCTTCCACATCAACCTGTTAACTCAGGCCCCCCGGCCTAATCGTCCTTGCGCCTACTCCTGATGCTACGGCTCGCCATCACGCGGCAGCAGCATCCTCACCGTCGGTTTTGTCGTCCGTCTCCGTCATCCTCGTCGTCGGTATCGTCACCGTCGTAACAATAATTGCAGTGGGCATCATCACAATTTCCATGATCCTCCTCGACATGTTCAGCGCCCGCCTTCTCCTCCTCAGGACCCGCATCGGCCTTATCATACTAGTCATCCGACTCCAGCTCTTCCGCATCATGCTGCCCCTGCCCCCCTTCTCCTACTCATGCTCACATCAATAATGTTCCTCCGCTTTGCGTCTACTGGGAATCTCCACGTATGTTTTCCTCTCCGGCTCACCATGTTCCTCACGTTAGCAGCAGCAATACCATGAATGCGTCAATCCCTCCGACACTCACCATCGTAACAAGCGTACCAGTCATAGTCGTCATCACCATGCGTATAATTTTCCTTCTCAGATTCTGGTTCCTCATCCTCCTCCTCGTACGACTGGCTTTCAACATGGCCAAGTGCGCAAGAAGACCAATCCTTTGCTCCTCCGTATTCTCACTGTGGCCCGTCCCCCCGTCCGACTCATACTCGCAATCGTCTTGGCAACAACCCTGCCTCTACTGGAAGACGTTCCGCCCTCTCCAATTCCGCCAGCTTCCACCTCTGATGTTCCTCTTCCTCCCATCTGCTGGAAGCCATTCCTCCTCCTCGTCCTCCTCCTCCTCCTCATCATCCTCCTCCTCCTCCTCCTCCTCCTCCTCCTCCTCCCATTCATCCTCCGTACCAAGCCGTCCTCCTGCAGGAAGCCCTTCTCCAGGTTCTGGGAGTACTGGGCCCTCATGTGGAAGGGGACGGAGGAGGGCGGCGATGACGAGGACGAGGACGAGGAGGACGCGAAGGACGAGGGTAGAACGGGGAGGGAGACGGCAGGAGAGAGGACGCCAACAGGAGTTGGGAGGTCAAGAGCTGGGAGTGCATGTGCTGCGCCTGAGGAGCCACGGGGGCTGGAGGCGGGAGCTCGGGTCAGGTATCCTGGCATGGAGCTTCAAACGCGTCCTACGCTGGAAAAGTGGGCGAGGAGTGGAGAGTGGCGAGCAAAGAGGAAGGGACGAGAGGGGCAATGAAGGAGACGTACGGAGCTGGACCAGGAGCATGAGAAGTGGGAGCAGCAGTAGCCGTGGAACTTGGCGCAGGAATTGGGAGGAGCGGGGGTGGAAATACTGGTAGGACCAGGTAGGGCGGAGAGGAAGGGGGGCGTCTTGCACAAGGAACGAAGACCACGACGACCAAGGGGGGCGGGTGGGGCAAGGGGCGGGGGAGGGGGGGGAAGCGCCGCCCTGTCTCTACAGATGGCGATGTCTGCTGCTGGCTTCGTCACCAGAAGCGTGCCCGCGTCGTCCGCTCGTGAGATGCCTGCTTGTCGAGTCGGGCGCGTCTTTACTTTTCCTGCGTGCCCGCCCCCCGCAATCACAACCCTTGTTCTCCGCTTTAGGCAAGCTCGGACTCCTCTTCCTCCTCATCCTCCTCCTCATCCCCTCCTCCACCTCCTCCTCATCCTCCTCGTCCTCCTCCTCCTTTTCCTCCTCCTCCTCCTCCTCATCATCATCCTCCCCCTCCTCCCCCTCCTCCTTCTCCTCCTCCTCTTCCTCCTCTTCGTCCTCTTCCCCCTTCTCCTCCTCCTACTCCTCCTCCTCCTACTCCTCCTCCTCCTACTCCTCCTCCTCCTCCTCCTCCTCCGCCTCCTCCTCCTCCTCCTCCTCCTCCTCCTCCTTGTCTTCCTCCTCCCGTTGGGGCACACCTCAGAAACGTGTCCCTCCTCCTGGAGGGGTAGCGTAGGGGAATTCTGCCCTGCCCCTGGGCCTGATCTGCTCGTAGCAGTCGAGGTCCGTCGTCAAGCAGCTACCCTGTCGCCGCGCTGCCCCCCACGGGCGCTCTGGGATGAGCTGCAGCCGCAGACGCGGTAAGGGGAGAAGGAGAAAAAAAAGAGAGGGGACGGAACGGGCCGGAAGGGGAACGGAACGGAAAGGGGAGGGGAAGGGGAGAGGAAGTGAGAAGGGTGAGGCGGATGAGGAGGATGAGGAGGTGGAGGAGGAGGAGGAGGAGGGAGGAGAAGGGAGGTTGGAGGGGAAGGAAAGAAGGATGGGGAAGCATACGTTTAAGCAACCGCATGATCAACCTCGTCATGATCCTCGGACATTCCACCATGCTGATGATCCGTAATCACCATTATCAACAGCGGCAGACTCATCATGGTCATACTCATGCGTAGCACCAACATCCTGGACATCATTCATCGTCATCAACATCAAAAATCATCAGCTTCATCATCATCAGCAGCATCATCCTCAATATCAGCAGCATACTCATCATCACCATCATAATCATCATCAACATCAACACCATCAGCGGGCAGCATGCTAATCCTCGCCAGCGTCCTCAGCATGATTATCCTCATCATTCTCAACGACACACCACCACCGCCACCACCATCATCAGTGGCATCATCAGCATCAGCATCGTCGTCGTCAGCATAAGCATCATCACGATCAGTATCATCATCGTCATCGGTATCGACATCATCATCGTCGTCGTCATCAGCAGCAGCATCAGCATCATCAGCATCATTATGCTCATCATCACCACCACCACCATCATCAGCATCATCAGCATCGTTGTCGTCGCCCATCATCGTCATCCTCCTCGTCGTCGATGTCGCCATCTTGATCATCAGAATCGTCATCGTGGTCATCACCATCACCCTCACCACCACCACCACCAGCATCATCAAAATCGTCGTCATGCTCATGTTCAACGTCATCGTCTGCATCTTCATCGTCGTCGTTTACGTCAGCATCATGACCATCATCGACCAGATTCTGACAATGCACCTTAGTCCCATCATCAGCAGCATCATGTTCATCAACATCATCAACAGAAGTACCATGAGCATCATGATCGTCATTGCCATCACCACCCTCATCATGGTCATCACCCACACCGTCGTCGTCGACGTCGTCATCGCAGCAGCCTCATGATCAGAACCATCAGTATTCCACCATCGTGATCGCCTTATCATCGCGACCACTATAATCTACCTCACTCATCATTCGTTCACTCTCTTCTTCCTTCTTATCGTCACAGTTATCACAATCTACATCGTCATACTGGTGCTTCACCCTCACCGTCGTCCTCGTCACCGTCACCATCATCATCGGCGTCGTCACCCCCCATCCCGCATCCCTCCTCTCCCCTACCACCCCCTCCTCATCATCTCAAAAATCAGAATGATAGCGGAGAGAAAAAACCATTCAAAGTCATTTTAGGGCTATAGGGCTATGGGGATATTGGGCTATAGGGCGATGGGGTGATAGGGCTATAGGGCCATGGAACTTTAGGGCTATAGGGCCATAGGGCTATAGGTCTATAGGGCTATAGGGCTATAGGGCCATAGGTTTGAAGGCTGTAGGTCTATGGGGCTCTGGGTCTCTGGGGCTCTGGGTCTCTGGGGCTATAGGACTATAGGGCCATAGGGCTATGAGTCTATAGGGTTATGGGGCTATAGGGCTATAGGACCATAGGGCTATAGGGTTATAGGGATATAGGGCTATGAGGCTATAAGGCTGTAGGGCTATAGGCATATAGAGCTACAAGGATATAGGGCTATAGGGCTATAGGGCTGTTCGGCTATAAGGCTATAAGGCTAAAGCGCTATAGGGCTTTAGGGATATAGGGCCATAGGGCTATAGTGCTATTGGACTGTAGGGCTATAGGGCTATTGGGCTATAGGGCTATGGAGCTATAGGCCTCTAGGGCGATAGGGCGATAGGGCGATAGGGCTGTACGGCTACGGGGCTATAGGGCTAAGGGGCTATAGGACTATCGAGCTATAGGGCTCTAGGGCGATAGGGCGATAGGGCTATAAATCTATAAGGCTATAGGGCTATAGGGCTATTGGGCTATAGGGCTCTAGTGCTATAGGGCTATTGGGCTATGGGGCTGTGGGGCTATAGGGCGATAGGGTTATAGGGCTATAGGGCTATGGGGTTATAAGGCACCCGGGCACCCGGGCACCCGGGCACCTGGGCACCGGGGCACCCCGAGCACCCGGGCACCGGGGCACCCGGGCACCCGGGCGGGCCGCGGAAATCGGTGACAAACCTCACCTAACCATATGAATCCGCTAGGACCCTACAGAGGCAAGCTCTGATTGGAGAATTACCAGCAGCATCATGGTTGTCATGGTAATCGGCAAGGTCACCACCGGCATCATCCTCATTTTCATGGTCGTCGTCGCCATCGTCGTCAACGTGATCTTTCTCGTCGTATCCTCATCCTCCTCAACCTCCCCCCTGTCGGCACTCCCTTTACGTGGACCAGGGATCCGTGGATCTAGCGCGCAGGCTTAGGTCGGGCGGGCATGTCCCCCTACAGGGGGATTTTGGACGAAAAATGAAAAATACTCAAAAAATACCCCCCAAATGGTGAAAGAATGCTCAAAAAATAGTCCCCAGATCATTTTTTTAAAGTATGTTTGAAGATTCCTCCTGTGGAGGGACAGGCCCCGACTTCAGCGTAGGCGTCAAACCCGGGGATGGACAGACCTCCCTTTAGTAAAACGTGGTTTAGTGAAAACGACCTCCGGCCCAAACCTGGCGGGCGCAGGCCTGGAAAATAACGGCCGCGGCGCCCTCTCGAGAACCGAGAACGGACAAATCACTAATCGACGTGTCAGAGTATTAGGAGGTCTGTCCACCCCCGACAAACGCACCTGTCGCGGAAGGCACCCCCCGAACCACGCAGCCGGCGCCACCCGCTCCGGCGACGGATTACGCGCCGATCCAGCACGGCAGCGGGCTCCGCCGCGGGCCCGCGCGTCGTCGTCCGCGTTCGCGCCTCCTCCGATGCTGCCCCCTCTCCGCTGTGGCGTCACCCTCACGCATCCTTGCCTCCCACCCTCGCACCGCCGAGGAGGGAGAGGAGGAGGAGGAGGAGTAGGAAGAACGGAGGAGGAGGAGGGGGAGGAAGAACGGAGGAGGAGGAGGAGAAGGGAGGAGGAGGAGGAGCAGGAGGAGGAGGAGGAGGAGAGGGGAGGAGGAGGGAGGAGGAGGAGGAGGAGGAGGAGGAGGAGGAGGAGGGAAGGAGGAGGAGGAGGGGGAGGGGAGGAGGAGGGGGAGGAAGAACGGAGGAGGAGGGAAGGGAGGAGGAGGAGGAGGAGGAGAAAGCACGGAGGCAGAGAGGGAGGGCGAGGGAGCAGGGAGGGCTCTCCATCGTCCTCCCTCTCCACCCGTCTCCCCCGACTCTGTCCGGAGGGTGCTCCGCCTTCTCCCTTGATCCTTCTCCCCTGACTCCCTCTGACTTCTCCGCGTATTGGTTTCTACCTACAAAATTGGACACGCATGGTCTTCCCCATGGAGCTAAACATGCCGACTGTGTCTGTGTTGCATGATGGTATTACCGCTGCAGCGTGGGCCTCATTTTCGGCTTGGCGCTTTGCTCCCGTCGGTCAGAATGGCGCTGCCGCCCCAGCGTGGGCCATTGTTCTGGATCTGATTCGTTCCTCAGCGTTGTCGCCCCACTCCTTTCCCACTCCGCCTTCCCCTGGCCCTCCTGCTCCTTTCGCTCCTTCTATTCCACTCCCGCTGCTGCTGTTCGTTATCGTCCTCCTCCTCCTCGTTCCTCATCCTCCCTCTTTTCCTACTGCTCAGCTCATCCACCTTCCCCACGTCCTCCTGCTCCTCCCACTCCTTCCACTCCAGTTCCTGCTGCTGTTGTTCGTTCTCGTCCTCCTCCGTCCTCATCCTCTTCCAACTACTCTTCCAACTCCTCCTCCTCTTCCTCCTCCAGCTCCTCCTCCCTCCTTCTCCTCCTCCTCCTCCTCCTCCTCCTCCTCCTCCTCCTACTCCTACTCTTACTCCTACTCATCCTCCTCCTCCTCCTCCTCCTCCTCCTCCTCCTCCTCCTCCTCCTCCTCCTCCCCACCTCCTACTCCGGCTCCTCCTCCTTCTCCTCCTTCTCTGTACGCAGCGCCCCATGTCCGATTGTGCATAACACGATGGTGTCTTGCTTGAAGTACTAGGACGAGTATGACGCGCGTCCTCGGATAGAGAAAAACATCAGCGCAATGAGAAAGCACGGGAGGGAGGCAGGGGATGCCAGATATGGCGCGAGCGCACCTCCGTAGCTTGCTCTCCCCCTTCCCCCTAACCCCCCTGCCCCCCAACCCCATGCCCCACTGTGCGCTTGGCCGTAGCTTGCTCTCGCCCTTTCCTATCGATTTTCCCCCCTATCCATTCTCCCCCCTGATCGATTCTCTCCCCGTCCTATCGATTCTCAGCCCTATCGAGTCTCCCCCCTATCGATTCTGCCCCCCTATCGGTTCTCTCCTCCTCCCCTCCTTATCGACTCTCCCCCCTCCTCCTCCCCCTTCCCGCCCCTCCCCTCCGCTCCTGGTGGCCCGGGTGCAGCCAAGTGGCTCTGCGCCTCCCCATCCAACCCCAGGGGGGGGCTGGCGGCGCGCACAAGTAGAGTGGTCCACAGGGACACACAAATATAACGACAAACCAAAATCCCAAGATTCCCCATATTTTCCCATGTTTTCTAGGTTTTCGTCTTCCCCACCACTTCCCATGTTTTCCCTTTGTTTCCTGGGGATCGACGATTCATTGTGGTGTCTGTGTGATCTTTCCTCTCCTGACCGAGGGGATAGGGGGAGGGGGGGAAGGCTTCTCAGAAGGAGGCTGCTTCTGAGAAGGCGCCGGCCCTAAATCTGCAGACAGAGCCCGCGCCCTCTAAGGAGCAGGGGTGCTTCGAAGAAGCAGCCCCCCCTCCCACATTGACCTTAGGTCGGGCATGTCCCCCTGCAAGCGGATTTTAAGTGAAAAGTCAAAAATACTTTCAACAATCC